TGGATGGCTTTCCTCATGGGGCAGTGAAGAAGAGAAAAAGAATTGCTGTGAATGGGAAGGAGTTCAATGTAGCAACACAACTGGGCACATCACTATGCTTAATCTAACCACATATTTGTATGACCCTCATTTTATCTTAAGAGGTAACCTTAGTCCTTCTCTCTTTAAGTTGCAGCATTTGATTTTTTTAGGCCTCAGGAGGAATAATTTCAACTTAAGCCACATTCCAGAGTCTATTGGTTCACTAAACAAAATACAACATCTTGATCTCTATTATTGTAATTTAAGTGGATCTCTTCCTAGTCAGCTTGCAAACCTCACAAATCTGCAATATCTTGATCTTAGTTATAATAACTTCAACAGTGTCAAAAATCTTGAGTGGCTCTCTCGTCTTTCTCTCTTGCAACACCTTGGTCTGAGTGAAATCGACCTTAGTAAGGTCAACAATGACTGGCTGCAAGTAATTAATAAGCTCCCTCATCTAACTAACCTGTCTCTATATAGATGTAATCTTCGAGATGTCATTCCCCAGTATTTCCCCATAATTAATACTTCTAGTACTCCTCTAATTGAACTTGGTCTAGGAAGCAACAATTTGACTACTTCTGCATTCCTGTGGTTGTTCAACTTTAGCAACAGCCTTGTTAGTCTCGACTTGAGTTCTAATCAATTTCGAGGTCCAATTCCAGAAACTTTTAGTCACATGACTTTTCTGGAAGAGCTTGATCTCTCAAATAATCAATTTGAAGGAGAGATTCCAAAATCCTTTTGGAGTGGCAACTTATCGTCATTGCGATACTTGTATCTTTCTCACAATAAACTGAGTGGTACTATACCCAAAAGTATCAAAATCCTGTCAAAGCTTGAGCTCTTAGATATTTCTTTCAATTCTTTTAATGGGGTGATCACTGAGGAACACTTCTCAACACTATCTAATTTATGGTGGTTGGACATGTCTTCTAATCATCTAAGGATCAACTTCAGCCATGAGTGGATTCCTCCATTCCAGTTGAAATATATTCATCTTGGTTCTTGCAAATTGGGCCCTGATTTTCCAAGCTGGTTACAGACCCAAAAGAAGTATGCGATTCTTAATATTTCTGCAACTGGAATTTCAAATAGCATCCCCATCTGGTTCGGTAAGCTACCTTTGATGGCACGAGTTATAGATCTTTCTTCCAACCAGATAAGTGGAATTCTTCCAAACTTTTCACGGAATTTTTCATCTGATTCTTATTACATTAGGGTAGATGGCCTTGGGGTAGATTTAAGTGGAAATTATTTGGAGGGTACATTACCATCATTTCCTGCTAATACCACACACATAAACCTCTCAAAAAATAGGTTTAATGGGCCAATTTCTTCCCTCTGTACTATGACTGCTGTATCCCTCAAATTCCTTGATCTTTCGAGCAATCAATTATTTGGAGAGCTTCCTGATTGTATGATGGGTTGGTCAAGTCTACAAATTCTGAGTTTGGCTAATAATAATTTCTTTGGGAAAATTCCGAGCGTTGTGGGATCTTTCTCTTTGATTGAAACATTTGATTTGCAAAACAACCGCTTCTCTGGGAAAATTCCTAGCTCTTTAAGGAACTGTAGTAAATTGCAATTTCTGGGTTTGAGTAATAATAGATTGTCTGGAAAAATACCAAGTTGGATTGGAGAAAGGTCAAATTCACTAAATTTCCTCCTCCTAAAATCTAATCATTTTGTTGGAGAAATCCCATTGGAGATATGTCAATTGACAAATATTCTGCTGCTGGACCTCTCTTGCAACAATCTCTCTGGACCCATACCATGGTGCACTGGTAATATGACTGCTTTGGCCAGCCAAGACATCTCAGCCAAACATCATTTCTGTAACTCTCCACAGAACTCTCCACATGGTTATAACGTTTATGATTTTGATGGAAGCTATGCTGATAAAGCATCTATCATATGGAAAGGAAGAGAATATCACTATGAAAATCTCACACTTCAGAGGACCATTGATCTTTCTAGCAACAAATTAACTGGAGAAATTCCTGTGCAAATTGCAAATTTTTCTAAACCGCATCAATTGAACTTATCAAGAAACCATTTGACTGGAAGCATTCCTCCAAATATTGGGGAGATGAGACAGTTGGAGTCGCTTGATCTTTCACACAACATGCTTTCAGGTTGGCTTCCTTCAAGCATGTCCAAGTTAAACTTCCTCAGTTTCTTGGACCTATCATATAACAACTTTTCTGGGAGAATTCCATCTAGCACTCAATTGCAGAGCCTTCCTACTTCCGCATTTGTTGGTAATCCTGCACTCTGTGGATCTCCTCTCCCACAAACTTGCCCCACTGATGAAAAGCCTATGGATGGTGGTGTCAAGTACAATCAACAATACGACGATCAATTCTGGAAAGGGTTCAAACCCAGTATGGAAGTTGGAATGGCTTTTGGCTTTCTAGGAGCTTTGGCTCTCAAGTTAAACGATCCATGGAAACATATTTGTTTCCTGTTGTTCAACTACATGAAGGTTCGCCTCAAAAACTTGAAGGACTACCTCCTTTCGATTGTGGCAGCACTTTGTTTGGTGATAACTGTGAACGTTGCTAGATTGCGAAGAAAGTTGAAGTTTTAGGAGCCATCCATAGGTATGTTTTAGGTTTGTTTAGGACCTTATGTCATCTTGTTCAATTGCATTATTGAATTGGAAAATAACTGAGGAGAGCACCTTTAATTTTTGTTTTCAGGTTCAAGATGATTCTTCAGGGACTTCAAGGACAACTCTTGAGAGTTGAAATGCTAGGGCTTCCTTTTCAGGCTAGCGCGGTCTTTAGAACAACCTTTTTTATTTTCTATGTGTGTAATAAATCATAGTTTATTTGTATGTTTTATGGTTTTATGTATGTACAATTAATTTTATCATCTAGTTCGTAAGAAATGAAAAAAAAATGTTATGTGTAATTGAAATAACATCAAAACTTGAATTGTGCAAGCCTTTAATTCAGTAACTCAGCATCCTCGACGCATTATGTTGATCAAGTTTAACTTTTCATTTTCATTATATTTTCAAAATTGAATTAATAATCTTTTAGTGTATACTTTACCGTTAAAGTTTTCTGTTATTATTTATGTTAATTCAAATAATTTCAATTTTAATTTTGATTAACCCAATGCTTATTGTAGGAATATACAGTAGTCAGTAGGATTAAGACATTTCATGTGGGCCACCTTCATTTTTTTAAAAAAAAACATTCATATGGTCCCAACTCATAAAACATTAATAATACTAATCAAATTATTCTGTTTTATTAAAAAAAATCATCAATATCTTATACACAATTGAACGTCTAAAAGGTATTTTTCAGTTTGATTACTAAAAAAAAAAATTTCTGATGTTGTTAATAATGATAAACATCTTTCTTAAGCTTAGTTTGATAAAATTTTTTCTAGTTTGGACTGAAAAAAATCAAGCTCATTATTACATTTATTTTGCATTTTTTTTCCTTTTTGCTTTTCTCCTTAATAAGCTAAACCGAAACAATTTTTTTTTCTTTTAAATCTCAATAAATGAGAAGATGATTTCAGCTGGAAATCATGGGATTAACGGCTTAACCAGTACAGTGGCAATTTCGTAATTAGCGAAAAACCCCAATAGATCCTTCCTCAGAAAACTGCCCATCTTCTTCTTCGATCACTACACCACCCTCACTCTACACTCTTCCAAACTCTTTCTCAGACTTAGCCATGGCGGATTCGAAGTCTCCGTCAGCAGCAGTGAAGCATCATTCACCGACAAAAGCAGAGGCCAAGGCAATATCTTTACTGTTCACCACAAGGGGAACGATGGTGTTTGCTTATGGCGTCACATTTGCTTTTGTTGCTTGTACGGCTTTCTTGGTGCTAAACCCATCTTCCAATTCCTCTCCTTGGATAAAAAGCTTCCTCAAGTCGTCGTCTTCCAGCTCCCGGTTTTCCTCTCTCTTCTCTTGTTTTGTTTCTAATTTTTCCCAAACCGATGGCAACCCACTTCCTTTCACTTACCCACCGGCCGCCCCGTTTCGGGTTTCTTGGGAAAGCAGTGGATTTGGTGACAAAAATGGGTCTTTGTCCGGTGATGGAGAAAGTCGAGTGTCGGAGGATGTTCGGGCATTCAATCAAGCGGGTACTTTACTCTTCACTCCGACTGTTTCTTTCTCTCAAGAATCTAATGGCACATCAAAAGGTTTAGTAATTCAATTTTCCAGTAGCCCATCAAATAATGAGAGTTGGGATGGTAATGTAACAAGAGATCCAGGTGGTTCTCAGTCTTTCTCAGATAATGCTGCTGATTACCGATTTGCTTTAAAAGGAGAAGATGGAAAGGAATCAAAGAATGTGTGGGATTTGGAAATGAATGTGACAGGGGAAGGGGTTTTAGGTAAGGGGCGAGAGGCTAGCAATGTGACACTGGAATCAAATGAAATGGATGGATTTGGAAGTGTTGATGACATGTTTAGTAAGCATAGAAATGGAGATCTTAAGGATATAGACATAATGAACCATTGTAACATATTTGATGGGAAGTGGGTGAGAGATGGTTCTTGTCCAATTTATGCACCAGGGTCTTGTCCTCATATTGATGAGCCTTTCAATTGTTATCTTAATGGTAGACCTGACAGAGGCTATGAGAAGTATAGATGGCAACCCAAAGATTGCAATATACCAAGGTAACTTGCTCAGTTTGTTGATTAATACATACATATATATATATATATATGTAAATAAATTATGCCAATCTATTTAATCACAAACTTCTATTGCTACTGAGGTAGTAGATTTTGTTTGGGGTTTAGGTTTATGATTGTGTTGACTATTATAGGAGTAATTATTTTGTTGCTAATCAGTTTTGCGAGCATAAATAAAATGCTTGCCACTCACACCAATGGACTAGTGTCGAAAATTTGTTTACAAGCACATTGTATGCAGAAACTTTGATGGTTGTTTACTCTATCTCCATATTGATTCTCTTTTTGGTCAAAATTTCACATTCTGGACATTTTTTTGAATGAGATTGTCACCCCTGATTGTTATGTGTGCTTTATGTAGACTCTGGTTAGGCTATTAGTGTAACTGGCTCATATGGACCCATGCAGGTTGAATGGTAGGCATATGCTGGAATTGTTGAGAGGAAAGCGTGTAGTTTTTGTTGGTGATTCTCTAAACAGAAATATGTGGGAGTCTCTTGTGTGCATCCTTCATAGCTCAGTGGGAGACAAAAGTAGAGTTTTTGAAGCCTCTGGCAGAAATGAGTTTCGAACAGATGGCTCTTATTCTTTCAAGTTTGAAGTATATGTTCCAAATTCTTCTCATTGATTTGGATTTCATAGTCTTGATATAATCTTCTTTTCCTTGCCAAGGAAAACTCTTTCCATATTTCACCTTGTTTTGCTTATTGTTTGTTAATAATGGATGGATGGATGGATTAACAGGATTACAACTGTTCAGTGGAGTACTTTCGATCACCATTTCTAGTTCAAGAAGGTGAAATGTCTGGAAAAAATTGATTGACGAAGGAAACTCTTCACCTTGATATGATTGAGAAATCATCTGATAACTACAAAAGTGCTGATATTCTCATCTTCAACACAGGGCACTGGTGGACCCATGAGAAAACTTCGAAAGGGTACGGTTTATGCTGCCTGTCTATTTCCAAAGAATTTTATGTAGATAAATTATAAAAGTTTAAGAAATTTGCAGGAAAGGTTACTATCAAGAGGGTAGCATAATTTATGATCAATTGAATGTCAAAGTGGCATTTCAGAAAGCTTTGACTACATGGGCAAGATGGATAGATGCTAATATAGATCCTATGAAGACCCTTGTTTTCTTCAGGGGATATTCTGCTTCCCACTTTAGGTAAATGGAATACTGAAGGCTCTTTAAGTTAAAAAACGTTGACAACAGAAGAGAGAATCTTAAGTAATTCTGCTTGCTTACAGGGGTGGAAGATGGAATTCTGGAGGTCAATGCCACAGTGAGACTGAACCTTCAGAGAATGAGATATACTCGAAAAAGTATTCATCAAAAATGAGAATTTTAGAATCAGTAATCAATGGGATGAATACATCAGTGCTTTATCTGAATATTACCAGAATGACTGGTTTGCGGAAGGACGCTCACCCGTCAATATACAGGAAGCAGAATTTAACTGAGGAAGAAAGATTGGCACTGGGATTCCAGGATTGCAGCCACTGGTGTCTTCCTGGTGTTCCTGATACATGGAATGAACTTATATATGCTAAACTCCTTATTGCACATAACCAAAAACACCAAGATCAGCTCTACCAAGAACAACAGAGAAGACCATAGGTAAAATAAATGTTTTTTATGCTTCTGTTGATCAGTTGAATGATTAGTTTCTAGATTGGTTTATCTCTCGAAGAATTCTCTAGTAAATAGTTATCATCATTACTGAGAATATTAAAATGATGGTATTGGTATTGCACTATTGCTGAAAGGAAAGAGAGAAAAAGGGGCTGAATGCAGTTGTCTGTAAACATGGAGAAGGTGATGGTGATGGGATTTTCTATTTTGGTTCCGGGGAGTTGTACTCTGTCCTCATGCACTCAATTTAGCTGTGTTTCTAGTGGAATGTAAATCTCTCATGAATCCATTCTTTGAAACGATATCAGGTTTTATTATCTGTTAATATGAATCAAAGGCAATTTTGAATTTTGATCTCAAATTGAAAAACTATTGTCCCTAGTTTTCTTGATTCTTCAAATGAAGCTTTTGCCTGATTCTGTCTGTTTTGTCTCCAGAGCATTGGAGAACAATAAGCAAAGGGTTGAATAGTTTGACACATCTGCTATATATCTGAGTCAAATTAAGAGAAAACTTATCCATCTAGCTTCCTTTATTTAATTCACTTTCTCAGATTAATTTTTTCTTTCTTTGAATTTGGAACGAGGAAAATTGTTAACTAACCCAAGTTTTCAAGTGTTCAGTTAACCCTCTTGCAGTCGGTTCTGATTTCTCCATCCTTTCCCGTTAAAGGACTAATATTTCCCATCTTTATCATGGACTGACCAAAGCTATCAAAGAAATCACTCTGGCTGTTAGCAAACCTATTGACAATGGCCACAGTATCAGCCCCACTGGTGGAGAACAAATCTTGATCTGTCTGGAGAAGGCCCTGGTTGTTCTGAATATTTGTGAAGTAGTTGTTGTAGAAACCATCAGGCGTTGATGGATCCGGATTTGTTAATGTCCGTCCATTACCAACTTGAGGACAAGCATCCTGAAGTTTTTCCAGGTGTGCTGTGTCCAGGGATGGGTCTGGATTTCCAGCGTTGCTGAAATTGTAGAGCCTGTGGGAAAGAACTGGCATTGAGCCCTACCAATGGTGTGTGCTCCTGTGAAGAAAAAATCAAATCTCAATTGTACACTGAAGAATATTTATACAGTGTCTAATTGATTCAATTTCTACGAATATTTTCTCTGCTATAGACTGCTTAGGAAGCTGAAGTTACAAATTTGTAAATTTTTAAGTAGAGCTAAACTTTTGGAGCTCTGAACCTGAAACTTTGCATCACATCATGCTGTTATACCTGATAAAGCAACGAGATCAGTAGAATCAAGTCCAATATCTGAAAACTTGGCTGTGATCTGATCAAGGGTTTTCAAAGGGAGATGGAAGGGTGCTGTTAACCCCGTTTCTGTTTGCAGTCCGGTTGTCTCTTCTTCCCAGCTGCACTTCCCATGTTGGACCTCCAGCCTGAAAAGTGGAAACAAACGCTAATGTTTGTTTTGTTGGTCTTGAAAATTAAAGCTAATATCTAAGCATTAATGTTAGAATTTATAAAGGTTGACATAAATCACATTCGGTACCAAAGAAACCAGGAATTGAGATGCAATGGCAAGAATATCAGCACAAGAAACAACATCGGGACATTCGTTCCCCAGCGCAGTTTTGATGTGGTCAAACACATCAAATACCATAACTGAATTCGCATTAGGGCATGCATATTTTTCACTCGTTACGCCATTTGCACTGTCATTGTCTAGCAAGATCGAGCCATCACAACCCTGCAACAAAATGAGAATCTTTCATAATCTCAACTTGTCCCTTTATTATTGGACTAAAACATAAAAAGATTCAATCGACATAGACGTGCGGTACTTACTTTGACAAAGCAGTCATAAAAGTGAAGAAGTAAAATTTTGGCTCCAATTCGGGCATCATTTTGCTGAGCGCCTGAGCCTGCTTGACTACCCCGAGTACAATGTTGGACGTGTTGGGGCATGACTTAGCATAAAACGTAGGACTAAGTTGTGCATTAGATGTCCCCAACATCACAAAAAAAAAAAGAACCGCGGTAATTCTGAGGGGAAAAATTGGCATTTTCTTTCTTAACATTTTCATGTGAAAGCATGTAGTCTAATTCCTATGCGATTCATTTGTGACACTGAAGTCTTTATATAGAAATAATGTTCATAATGGATTGCAACCAAAAAAGAAAGAAAGAAAGAAAAGGTAAAATATATGATTGAGAAATTTCTTCGCTTTACCTTTGCTTTTTCCTTCCATAATTCCATTCATAGAAAAACATCGTAATTATGATCATGATCAAGCCATGAGATTCAACATTTTATAATGTAAAACCCTAAGAAATTATGATCATGATCAAGCCATGAGATTCAACATTTTATAATGTAAAACCCTAAGAAATGTAAAGTTTTTCAATTAATGGACGGTGGAATTCAATGAAATTGCGAGTATTCTTGACCTTTTTTGGGTGAAGTATATGCTAACTCATGAATTTGTTTGAATTGAATTGGTTGGAATTGCTTCTTACTTCACTTGGTTGTCTACAAAATTTAGGATACAGTGGAGATGTAGTGTGCTGGAGATTATAGGAGTATACGATTTCAGTTTAATTTGTATAATTCAATCAAGTACTTTTAGAGCATGAAATTTGAAATTAAAGATTTTAAGTTTAAATTTTAAGACAAGTAAAGAAAAATTAAAGAAATAAGAGTAAGTATCTTTTATTATATAATCATCATGATGTACTAAAAAAATTATAGATAATTCAAGATTCACAAATTTAACTTGATTTGTTTTTAGAGATGTATATTGTCCAAATAAATGATAATAAAAGTTGACATATGCATCTTTTTAGACGAAGGCTGAGATGCAAAGAAATTTTGGACCAGTGTATTGAGGACCCTAGAAGTTCCAGACTTGGTTGGCACACAAAGCAACTGCATAATCAATTACTTTATACTTAGTCATTTAACCCCTGTTTTCGTGCACAAAGATTGGTTTTCAACAAACAACGGTTTTCAACAAATAACGTTTAATCTTTTTTGACTATTTATTTTTAAGTTTTATTGTTAGTAGTTTCTCCTGAATAGACGATTTATAAGTGACAAATGTATGTTCTTGTAGCTGGTGGTATATCTAGCCCTGGATTGAAGTAATTAACTTCCCCTCACCATAAACTTACATGTATATACATATAAAAAAATTGTTTTGTATATAAAGGAGGAACCATTGCACGCAACGTTAAATTAATTGTTTAATTTGCCAATGGGACAGAATGTCTTCGTCAAGAGTATAAGATGCAGTGAAATGTTGTAAAAAGAATAAAATTGTGATTGTTTTAAATTCTAGAAATGTAGAAGTCAAGTTAGGAGGCAAAAAAATCCGTAGGCAAATAATTCTTTTCTTCCGTACCTCAGACACAGTCGTATTGTACTGTAGGAGGCATTTATTTTATCTCTACAATTTTACTTTTCTTCCCTAAAATCCTTTCCAAAGCTAACTTCATCAGAGTTTAAAATCCGGATTTGATTCTTTATTCACACAATAAAACTAGATAAAATTAAACCTTTATATTTTGTTTACATTGAGACACAATTCAATTTGTTGTATATTTAAATATAAAAATTTTTATTCAGGAAAGGAATTATTTTTTAAAAAAAAATAAATAAATAAATACACTTAATTGTTAAAAAGATTCAAATAATTCAATCTTAATTCTAAAATTAAAGTTTTGAATTTAATGAACATGGCAGCTAACCTGATGTCCATAAACTAGAATGATTCGGCAGCATAACGTTAAGATAATTAGATGCAAACAAGCTTTATTCATTAATTTACATTCAGCAAAATACACTAGCATAAAGATGGTCATTTATTAGCCTTCCTCTTTTGTTATTGATCAAATCAAATTGAGCTAACTAGGCCTCCATTTGATTTAGCAGTTGTTATTGAGTCACCATTAACAACTCTGCAATTCAATCTAATCTCTCCTTTAGTACCCGTCAAAGGCATGATGTTTCCCATTCTTATCATAGATTCAACAAAACTTTCAAAGAATGCGGTTTGGTTGCTGCTAAATCTGTTAACAATTTTAATGGTATCTGCCCCAGCAGTGGAGAACTATTCTTGATCACTTTGAAGTAGACCTTTTTGAGCCTGAAGGTTGGCAAAGTAGCTGTTGTCAAAGGCATCGGATGTTGTGGGATCAAAATCTGTCAGGACACTTCCATTACCACCTTGAGGGCATAATTCACGCAATGTTGCTAAATAGGTTGTGTCCAGGAAAGTGTCAGGATTTCCATTGCCATCAAAGTCATACAGTCTGTTTATGAATGTATTGCATCGAGCCCGTCCAATGGTGTGACCACCTGAAAAAAAATGCAGTCCTACTTTAGAACTAAATAAAATCATATCCTTCCATAAAAAATAAAATAAAATAAAATCATATCCTTAATTCCTCCTAATTATATGTGAATTCAGTTTTAAACTGCTTGAGGAAAGTGTCTCTAAAGTCTTGGAATTACCAGACAGCGCGACCAGATCTGTGCTGGTGTTAAGTCCAACAGCAAAGAATTTGGATTTGTGTTCTTCCAGGGTTTCAATAGGACCTGGAAGGAATTCATCAGCCACTGTGCTGTTTGTGGTTCTGCTGTCTCTTCGTCCTAACAAAACCGGCCAAGATGGGCCTCCTGCCTGTCAAAATGAACTTGGTTATGAACAACATACATTAAAACCCATAGTTCTGTTTTTCAGGGGAAGGCAAGTAGAGATCAGTACCAATTCCAAATAGACTGATTCTTCAGCTGCAATTGCAAGAATGTCAGCACAGGAGACGGTAGCGGGACAAGCAGTCTCCAACTCTGCCTTCATTGCATCAACAACATTAAAACCCCTCAAGGAGTTGTTGTAAAGTTTGTACTCACCCTCTAGAGAGGTCCAATGCAAGTTGAATCACAACCTTATATGCAAGTTTCTTCCTCCTATTTCTAATCAAGAAATTCTTTAAAGTCCCACCAGGAATGTATTCAACAACCACACAGCAAGCTCTGGAAGGGAGAGAAGCATGATTTTCATCTGTAGCATTTTTGGGGGGAATCTTAAGGTTGGAAGTTCCCATTGAAGCTCCAACAAACTGTAACAGACCATCCGCTAAATTAGGACACATGTAAAGAAGTATAACATATGGTGTAAGAAATGACAACCATCCCAAGATTATGAAACTACTAGCAAAAAGAGGCTGATTTTAGACAGGAGACAACTTGAGTGAACATAAGGAAACATAGGGATCAGTTAAATAACTCCCTACACCATACTAAGCTTGGAAAACCGATTGTCTTCACGATGTTTAATGAATTCTTTTTCCCTCTCAATGTCATGGTCTCTCATAGATAGCTGAATTATCATAGCTAGTACTAGTATTGATGGATTGATTAGTTGCTCTGACTACAAAATATAGACAGGATTAGCCTAGTACACTAAAAATATATATCCACTCTTTACCTTTGTAACATTGGGATGGTCAAGCTTATGCCAAACAGCAACCTCTTGGCGAAATGATGCCCGAAGAGCAGCAGCTTCAGCAGCTGTGGCAACTCCATCTTCTCCCCAATCCAATACCTTCACTAAATTCTGAAGAACAGCTTGAGTTAAGGATAACAGTAAGAGGGAACATGAGTACTTATATTTATAGAGTACAAAGAAAGTTGAGGTTTTAGGAACCATCCTTCTTTTCTTTGAGCATGGAGAGGAAGGTACGTCTTTTGTTTATTTATGATTTTGTGTCATCTTGTTCAACTGCATTACTTTATCGGAACATAACAGAGATAAACACCTTTACCATCTTTTTTTCTTTTTGCAGTTCAAGATGCTTCTTCAAAACCTTCTAGGATTTAACTTCTTTTGGAAGGTGATTAACCGGCTTTCTTCTCAGCGTCCAGTGTCTTCAGGGCATCTGTTATATTCCTTCTTTGTGTGTAAAGAATCCTGATTTGATTTTGTGTTTTATGGTTTTATGTTTATTTAATTTCATCATCTAGTTTGTAAGGAATGAGGAACAAGCTGCGTGCAGTCAAAATAATAATATCAAAGCCTGAATTATGAAGGCCTTTAATTCGGGAACCTTGATGCTTTTATTATAAAGTTCTAATATACATTTTCAAAAGGCAGTGGTGGCAACAACAAGAACATTGATCTTAATTCTTGTAATCGTTAAATTGAGAATGCAACTAGGAGCGGCCATTCTGTAAAATAACTTCCCAGGTTTGGTCAAACTGCTATAATGGTGGGATGCGTACACTGCTGCAGCAAGTAATGTGCGGGAAGCTTTTGAGCAGCAAGAGGAACTCATGCTTGATGGAAAAATACAGATAGGCTGGGAACCTATACGGTTTGCACTGGCATAGACTATTTGGAATGCTAGAAATGAAAAGGAATTTAGTGGTGGCACAGTAGATGTTGGCAAAATGGTTGACTCTGTACAATTAAGGACAGATCGGTGGGTAAAAAATGGAGGAAAGGAAACGCCTTTCTTATGTTAGACTGGATCATTACTCCAAGGGCATGTGTTAGTAAATGAATTACTTTACAATGGATAGTTGGAACCTGGTTAAAAGCCAGCGA